AAAATTTGCTCTCATAACCTCGAAAAATGCGTTTGTTTGAAAAACACGTTTTATCTCCATGATCTTCAACTTTTGGAATTTTTTTGATAGTCTAGATCAAAAGATGAGACATTTTTACGTCGATATCTACAATAAAAAAAAGGGGTTTTTCGTTTTTATAACGTATTTAAACGACGAACGAGACGATGGGAGCCGCGGCGGCCAGGCCATGCGCGGCAGGAGCACGCCGTCTGCTACCGTCTCTCTGACTGGATGTAAACAAATACACCTAACCGTGACAATTTGCACTTCGCAACAAGTTTCGATTGAATCATTAAATATTAGTATTTATTATTTTTATGACTTGAGATTGTGCTATCGTAAGTCCAAGTTTTCGTAGGTTTTACTGCAAAGAAACGAAGGTTTTTTTAGTAGCAAATCTGACTACGAAAAAACTTCCTAGAGATTAAAAGACGAAATTTCCAGTGCGAAATTGATTCCAGGGACACTGAATTATCATGCGTTTATTCCCATTAAGGATATTTGATTAATGTTGAAGAAAACTTCTTTGAGTAACTAGTATGAAATTTTTCCGAAACTAAAAGAACGTAAAACAAGTGTCACTTCGATTACCATGCCTAAAAAGAAAAAGAGAAAAAAGTAAAACAAATTTGTTTTTATTGTTTACTTTATTTATGTAAATATCTAATATTTAATCAATATTAATCATTATTTATTTCTTTATTATAAAATTGTTGTATATATGAATAAATTTTATCAAAACATTTATTATTTATCCATTGTAAACCCTGGTTAACTAATTGTTGTTTACATCGCCACTACTACATTATTTATATTATATAGCCAAACAGACGACACACGGCGGACGCGCTGCTGCCGCACGTGGCCCAGCCGCCGCGGCTCGCATCGTCTCGTTCGTCGTTTAAATACTTTATAAAAACGAAAAACCCCTCTTTTTTTATTGTCGATATCTACGTAAAAATGTCTCATCTTTCGATCTAGACTATCAAAAAAATTCCAAAAGTTGAAGATCATGGAGATAAAACGTGTTTTTCAAACAAGTGCGTTTTTCGAGGTTATGGGAGCAAATTTTCGAAAAACCGATGCCACCACTAAAAAGCTGAGGAAAAAATACGTAAGAATATGTTTTGAGATAATTTTTTTATCAAAGTTTTGACACCGTAACGACGAGTTGAAAACGTCGTGTTTGACGCCCGCGCGGGCTGTCCACCGCGGCGCTGGGACAGTTGACGTGACTCTCCCCATATACATTTCAAAACTTTCATCTGGTACACATACGTAAATTAAACAAAAATTGTGTTTTGAAAATTAAACAAAAATTGGTGTAATTTAGATTCTCATAAAAATTCTCTGACTGAGTAAGTTTTATTTTTTAGAAAATCTGTGTCAGTGACTTACAAATATTTCATTCCTTACAGATACGGTGAGAACTACGATCCAAATTAGATAGAGGTGCGCCTTTATCTTCTAAACTCAATCGAAATATGATGTGCTGGAGAATTCAAGTTTAAGAGGGCTTCAAAAAATAAAGTAACAAGTAAGAGTTTAACTAACTTTTTCTTTATTAGTCAAACAAGATAAGTAGCATTTATAATACTATAAAATTAATCGCAGCAGAATCGATTATTATCATTGATGCACTTAATTATTTAGACTTATTAAAATACTTCAGTTCCTAACCCAACTGATTTTAATTGGAATTTTTTCCTGATTAAAAATGTGAAGTAAAATGTGTTTGTGTAACCTAGTTTACTTTGCTAAAAGCACGAAAAAGTTTTTTTTTGTGTTTAATTTAATCTAGATGTGTAAATTGAGGATATTATAAAAAATATCGAAGCAGTATCATTTAAAAATCATTAGATATTAATGCATTAGTTGACCCACGTTCACGAAATTATGTCGGTAGAGGTTTCAGCTTCCTTTTAATTAATTTTAATCAGAAAATTCACTTTCATCATAACGAATAAGCGGTAAATTAAAGAAAAAATAGATATCTTTTAAAGGCAAAATATTATAACTATTTTGCAATACGTTGTCTAACGCAATACGACCAAGACTAAAAATTTTTTTAGCATAATTTAATTTTGGTATATCATCTAAAATATCAACATCTCCCAAGTCTGATTGTAAATGTGCTAGTTTGGGTATTAGGCTATCACGCAACTGATTTCTCTGCTTCTAGGTGCAGCAAAAAAATTGTCCGTTAGCTAACGATTCAGCGGAAAATTAGCGGCAAATTATCTCGTTAGAATTATGTTCCTAAGTTGTGAGGACACCGAGATAACAACAGTGGCGGCGCTATCTTGATATCAAGCTGACACGCAACTGATTTCCTGGCATCTGGGTGCAGCGGTAAAATGGGCAGCTGTTAACGGTTCAGTAGAAAATTATTCCATTGGATAGTATTTCCAAGTTTTCAGGATCTTGAGATAAAACTAGTGGCGGTGGTAGTTTGATATCAAGGTGACACACAACTGATTTTTCGGCTTCTGGGTGCAGCAGCAAATTTAGTGTTAACGTCACAAATTAGCGGCAAATTAACGGCAAATTATACATTAAGTACTATTGTGGCACGCTGACTTTTTCTTTATTAATCAAACTAGATAAATGGCATTTATAATACTATAAAATTAATCCCAGCAAAATCGATTATTATCGTTGACGCACTTAATTATTTAGACTTATTAAAATACTTCAGTTCTTAACTCAACTGATTTCAATTCGAATTTTCTACACGTAAGTACATACGAATTTTATGTTGACATTTCACGTAGAAAGACTACGTTGAATATACTACTCAAAATATGATGTTGAAAAGAAATGCAAATGTCTAAGTAGCGATTTAGTGATATTTTTTAGCGATTAGGTAAATTGCATATGAAATTTTTAGAACGAATTCGCACATTTATACATGCTCTCAACGTGACATTTTAATAAAAATATTCTACAAGGACTTTTCTTGTTAAATAAACATACAATGTATCAAATCATTCATTGTGGAGAAGACGAAAGTCATTGCGGAATTTTTTGGTGTCTTTTTAACGCTACATTATTTGTATAAGCTTTGATGTAGCTTGCTTGTCTGTTTAGGAGAATATTGCGATTGATTTTTTTACAATTTTCCGATATTCGATTAGGCTAGGATTTTGCACACACCTTTATTTCTAAAGACTACACAATATACTACATTTAGTATGATAGTGGATCGGACGGTATAAAATAAAAGTGTAACGGATAGGATACAACAAGCTATGTTACTTCTTTGTTTATTGTTACTTCTGCATTGAATTGGAACTTGAAAATGATAACCTATGTAACTTATGTTTAATCATATATTATTATTCAGATTAAAAACGATATTTTAATGATATAATCAAGCTCAATTACAAAAATACTGTACTTAAACCACTTGTCAAATAATAACCTGTGAGAAAAATAAAATAAGATTAAAGTGCAGATTTTAATCAGAATGTACTTATACCCTCATAAAAATTTTTTTATATAGTGTCTGTAAATCATTAATGATTCCCAGCTAATCTCCTGAGAAATAAATTTTGTTTTATTTAAAATTTTGTCTACCATATTGAATCCACAAGTGTTACATTCACAAATTTATAACAATAAATTTTTACTCAACGCCCCGAAAAAGCTCTGTACAATTTTTTCCAAAAATATTTACATAACGTTATGTTACTTTATCACTATATTTGATTGGTCATTTTTGTTCATTTAATTTTGATGAAAGATTCGTAGGAAGCACTCCAAGAAAACCCTATGACATAAATTTTCAAAGACTTCTGAAAGTTTAATAATTTTGTCACCATATTGAATTAATCATTTTAAATTATTGAATTTACATGTAAGTTTCTACAACCGAAAAAACAATAGTACACTAATTTTCAGGGGAAGTTAGAATCTGTTGGTTTAAAGGACTATACTAAATTTTTTGTTATTCTGTGATGTATTACTTTGAAGTGAAGCATTACAAACAACTATCTTAAAACTACAATAGTCACTATTTTATTAATTAGAAAAACATTTTTGCCCACTGAGTATTATTCAGAAAAATCAAACATTAAGTTTAGAACATCACGTAAGTTAGTTTTCGATACTTGACGTTTTTTCTTTATTCATAAAATTCTAGAAAAGTTCTTCGAAAATTTTCGACAATAAAATACATACCCCTCAGCAGGAGTTGTCTTAGACTATGCAAATATTACGATGATCACTATGCAATTAAAGCACCAATAGAATAATAATTAGACTAATAATTGACTGTAAATCTTTAGTTTATGTGTTATTAAATCGTCATGGACGTTTCGGTACCATGGTGAGTTCTTTAGACGTCTGTACGAGACTGAAGAAGATACTGTGATACCAAAATGGCCATAACGTTTTTATCACAAATTAAGTTTAGAGTAACTGTTAATTATTAGTCTACTTATTATTGAACTCATGTGACATGAATTTTTATTAGGTGAAGACAAATAATATTCAATTGTTAAAACAATTAAAACTCTTGTGACTGAAAATGAGATCTCATATAAAGCAAAAGTAGAATACAATGATCAATTTTTACTTACCTGTCCATTAGCCGACAACCTCTGTAGTAAAAGATGAAATACTTGGGGAGGCAATGAATTTTGTAGTACTTGTAACAGTTGATGAGGCTGGCCACATACTGCTACAGCGTTAGCTAAATGCTCTGTACCACCTTCGATATCCCCAAAACTAAGTAACTGCTCACCCATTTCCACCTATTCATAATTTATTCGTAAGTGTTTATAAATTTACTTTTTTTTTAATCGATTAAAGAAGTATCACTTTTATTTTTTCAAATGTACCTCTTGGATGAAAAATTTTTGGACTAATTCGTGATCCTTCAGATTAGGAATTTTTGATGAAACATTTTGGGCGCTTTTTTTAGCTTTTCGACCTACAAATCAAAATATTTTTATTTGTAGCAAACGATTAATTATAGAAAAGTAAATTAATCATAATAAGTGGTTTATATTACATACAGATGTATATTATTATTAAGACACACACGATACTCTCTTTATCATAAACTTGTACTTCAATTTATAACTTCAATTCAGTAAATTTATACTTCATACTAAATGTTAACATCACTAAGTACTACGTTAACATAACTTGTCAAAAGGCAAACATACTATTCGAAGGTTAGCTTAATTTCTAGCACATTGTATTTCATGATCCTTTATATAAAATCAAATAACGGCCAAAAATGTATACATTTTATCAAGTATTTCTTTCTATTCTTGTATTGCTTTTACCCATACACCACTCAAGTATTTCTTATAAGCACCCTCTACTATCTCTTAGTAAAGGGTGTTGATTCTTGTCCCAAAAAGTGACTTATCATCATGGTTACCATTACCTAACTAAATCTGTGATCCCTTTTCTATTTTTCTGAACTAAAAGCTAATTACCCTTATTTTTAATCTGGATCCCATACTACTTTACCATACCCAGGGATCAAAATGTCGCATATATTAATGTGGATTAAACTTTTAAAAAAGGCAATGGTTTTGATCTTTTCGATATTTAACACAGGAAATGCTGCTCAGTAGAGATAAGTAGATAAATTGCTAACACCAATGCTACGGCGAGAGAAAACTTTTTGCCACTAATTGGGGTGATCCACCGCGGCCAGCCGTCGAGTCAGGCGCACATTTTTCGAGAATGCGAGAGACGTATCGAAGAGCGTGCACCTACGAGGAGTGGATTTACGTGGACATGAGCATATAGGCGCACATTTTAGAAATACTTAGAAGGGATGTACCAAATGAACGCCTACGAGAAGAGGTGTGGAAATGTCGACTATAGCTATATATTTAAGAACACAACCAAAGCAAGTGATGACACGAGTCTTTCTCTCTAAATATAGTTAAACTGTTACAAAGAATACGATATTCAACGTTGCAAACTTCAGAATCATCCATTCAACTGACTCTTACTTCAATTTCAAAATTCACTCTTGAGTTATCCATTAAATTCGTTCAAAATATTTATTAACAATAAACACCACGTTTAATAAATTAGCACAAAACTCCCTGAAAATTTATTTTCCATCTTTTGTTGTTTCACAATTTTTCAAATTTGTAGATATAGCAGCTATACTTACTATAATTAAATAAAGTACATTTTCAATTTTAATTATCAAATGTTGATTCCAGAACAAAAGAAGGTAAACTTTTATTTTCCGCCCTCGGGTGGTTTTGGGAGGCTGGTACTTCCTCGGGCGAAAAAGCAGTTTTCCGGAACTCGTTCGAAAAGTCTCCTTTACGAACCTCGTTACGTCCTTCGCCTTCGGCTCAGGCCGCAAACCTCTCGGTTCGCAAACAGAGACTTTTCAAACTCGTAGGAAAACTACCATTTCTTACCATGGACCCAAAGTGCATCTGCCGCTTTGTGCTCTCGGGTCACACTTTGCGCCCTTGTAATCACTTTGGGCCCACGGGCAGAAAAGTTTTTTGCGCCCTCCGGGCCAAAAGTACTTTTCTGCCCTAGGGCCCAAAGTGATTTACTGGGCGCAAAGTGTGCCCATGGGTGCAAAATTGCACTTTGCGCCCTCGGTAAGAATGGTAGTTTTCCTACGAGTTTGAAAAGTCTCTGTTTGTGAACCGAGAGGTTTGCGGCCCGAGCCGAAGGCGAGGGACGTAACGAGGTTCGTAAAGGAGACTTTTCGAACGAGTACCGGAAAACTGCTTTTTCGCCCGAGGAAGTACCAGCCTCCCAAAACCACCCGAGGGCTGAAAATATTATTTTTTAAGTCTGAAATTGGAACTTAGTTATACACCTTAATGAGGAACAAAAAACGATTCTTAATTTTTACAAAATTGTTTACTGTTTTGTTTTTTGTATGTTTTATTCATAAAAATTTTAACATTCAGTAATTGGCAGTAGACGGACGCTGATTATTTTACTTTACAGTTTAAACTAATAATGAAGTTTATCTAAGTAGCTCTCTTTTACAATAGCCCGCAAGAAAAGAGCATAATTTAAGCTTCAAAAAACAATCGAAAACTTTAACAAATTTAAAAGGTTAAGCAATCGAACAATTTTACTAGGCACAATACAAAGGCACACGAAGTGTTGATAATTTTTTTGTTACATGTTTTTAATCATAGTTATATTTCTCAAAAGTCGTTTTTTTAGCAGTTGTAGAAATTTTTCAAGTTTTCAACAATCATATATATTTTTGTACTACTTGCTCATAAGATGTAATGTTGAAACATGTGAGTAAAATGTTAAATATTTTAAATACAGAATGCCAAACTGCCATCAAAATTTTACTACGAATGTATGTAACTGTAAATAACTTATATATTACTATACCACAATTGTCAATGTATCCGTAAAAAATTTGATTTTGGTGTGAATGACCTCAAAGCTTTTCGAACAATTTTAGAGTAAAATGATGCAATAAATAATAACTTTGATGCTTTTTTTTAATTTTTAAAGTATACTTTCAAGTAAGAAAAAATAAGACTTACTTAAAAAGGTTTTGGCACAAATAAAAATGTTAGAGGAGGCTAAAAAGAAACGTTTCTTTTTTTTAAGAACATGATATGTGCGTGTGATTAAAAAAAATTTTTTTATCTCGAAAATACGCCTGAAAAACAAACATTTTATTTCCCAGTTAAACATAGACTCCCATGAAGATCAGTAATTAAATCGTAACAAAACTACTACTAAAATAAAACACAACTTTTTAAAAACCAGGCATTGGTCTTGGGACCCCCGGCAGAAGTGAAACTTCCAACTTGAATGTTATTAAACTCGGTATAACAGAAACTACAAAAATTGGAGTACACCTAATTTCAAAAGGTCTTTAATAATCCGATATTAATATAGAGAGAATTTTGACATTATCACGTATTCGAGCACGCCCACGCATAGAATACATATGCTTTGATATACTACTAACGTTACAAATGATTAGCGCTATCTAAGTACTTCTATTTTTGCTATGATATATGTATTAATACGAGTACAAATTGTTGATCTTGTAATGCAGAACGAAACAAATATTTTCACCATACCGCGCCGAAAGTCCTGTTACACGAAACAAAAATTGCTTCTATTTAAAATTACTATTCGTATTCTTTATAGAGTCTTTTAGTGGACAAATTTTTGCCGGAAATGGTAGTAAAAATGTAATCATTAGCAAGGTAGTTTAACCTTGGGTGGCCCTTAAAAGAACCTATGAGATTGATATTTAAGGAGGGAACGTAAATACTTAAAAAGGGCCAGTAGTAAAAATTCTGACTATTCCTTATTTTTCTTGATGATGGAAAGCTGGCTAGGGGTGGCTTGACTCTTACCCTTGGAGTCTTTGTGTACAGAGACCGTTCTGGAAGGAGGTACGCTGCTGACCAGAAAAATATCTCGTCTTCGGGGTGTTCTCCAGATAACCAACCACTTATTATTATTCGGGAAAGTGGGCCTAGAGAATACCTTCTCTGTGGGTATGCCACTGGGACGACTACCAAGAAGGAGCCGTTGTGGCTGCCCAAGCTTCTTAGGGTTGTTATCCTTAGCTTGGTGTTAAATCAAAATATGCTCTAGTATCCTTAGGACAGTTGAAAAAATGACCATCAAAACCCGAAAATGCTAGAGCAGATGGTGCTCCGGCAAGACATGTCTCCTGGTATTTCGCCAGAGACGTTAGCAACTAGAACACCTTTTTATTAATGGCACTTGTCAATCTTAGTTGTTCGGGATGGCGATCGCCGTAGTCGCTTGTCCATTAGAAAACAGTGTTGTCGGTAGCCAGGACACCCAGCTGCACAACTCCCATCACCTCTATGCTTTATGCACTGCAAATGATTGGCTGTGGTATTCAGTTCTTTGCTCGGGGATTTAACTAGAGTTACTTAACTATATTGTAGGTACCTAATCGGAAATTGAACCTTCAGCGTACATGCGGGCCGAAGCTGGTGCCGAAGGTTCCAGGTCTAGGTCAACTTTGGTATCAAAGATGGCCCGATCGTGGCGTGTGAGCAGGTGCAGCTTCGGACCAGCTGTGGCTGCCAAAGATTCGAATATTTCAGCTGTCTTCTACAGTCAAGTCAAATTTAAAATTTGGTGTTAAAGTTAAACATACATGAACATAAAAATACATTAAAAATGGCACTCAACTAAATTATGGTTACTTCAAAAGAGTAGTGGATGTTAGAAAATAAAAACGTCGTATTCGTAGGAGCAAATTAGATAAAAGAAGCCTATTTGCCATGGTGACAATCAAAAGCTGGTAGCAGTATAAGCACACACGCGCGCGCGCGCATTTATACATGTTATGGACGTTATAGTTTACGACAGTAACAAATAAGCTAAATTATTACAATACGTAAAAAACAATTGTAGAGTAAAAACTGAGTATGAAAAAAACTACATTTCAAATAGCATTTTAATCTTATAGTAGAATTTACAAAAATGTTATAGACAAAAACGGGAATTTGTGCGATACACTGACAAACAGACTTCTTTTATCTGATTAGCTCTTTCGAATGGGACGTTTTAATTTTCCAGCATCCATTGCCCTTTTAAAGTAACGAGAACTTAGTTAAATGCTTTTTTTTACGTATGTTTATGAACTTTAACACCAAATTTTTAAGTTGACTCAACTATAGCAGACAGCAAAAATAGTCGAATCTTTGGCAGCCGCAGCTGGCCCGAATCTGCACCTGCTGACACGCCACAGCCGAGTCAGCTTCAGGATCAACATATGGGCCAAATCATTTAGCTTCTAGGTAGCCGAAAAGTTTTTTCTGATTGGGTATCTTTGATTTAACGTCTACGCCACCTATCGGATCCTACTGAACTAAAATGAAAAGCAAGCGTATTCTCACAAAGCTTTCAGCTTATTTATTGCTATTGTTATTAATTTTTTCAAGATAAAAACTGGAA